ACCACACAGTCGTCTTCCTGCCCGGGCAGGCGTGTGGCCTCCCCTCGGAACAGCCTGGGGGTTTGTTCGCGCTCACACGTGTGTCCGACTCGAGGTCCGCCCCCGGGCTCCAGGGGCCTCGGGGGCCTCGGGGACCCCGGGACGGGAAGGTGGCAGGTGGCCGTCATTTCCACTGCTGTTGTGTCTCTCCCCCCGTCTCCTCCTCCTCCTCCTCCTCGCCTGCTGCTCCCTCCCTCCCTCTCCCTCTCTCTCGTCCTCCTTCAGGAACTCGAGTCCCTGCATGAAGTCACTCGGAGCGCCTTTGCCACCAGAAGACGGGGAAGGAGGAAGAAATTGTCTGTGGCGTTTAAAGAAAAGCTGCTTAATCCCTGAAGTAATTAAACATTAATACGAACAATTCCAAGATACGAGATGTGAGGCCCGGCTGGGTTTCTTACAAAGCGGCTCGGTGAGGCCCGTCCACCGCGCACCGGGCGCGGGCCGCCGCGGGGGCTGGGCGCTGGAAAACGGCAGCGGCGCTCTGTGCCCAGGCGGCGTCCTCCCGCCAGAGTTTGTCTCCGCGGGCTCGCAGGACGCGCCCACGGCGACGCGTCCGGTTGTCCGGTGCGGGCTGGGCCGCGAGCTGCCAGCCTGGAGATGGAGGGACTGGCCCGGCTCTCTGCCCAGAGTTCTCTCGTCCACCCGTGTCTGTTCTCTCGCCCCTGCGTGGGCTCTCTGTCCCTCTGCCCCGGGGGCTGCTCTGGGCCCCGAACCTGTGGCCGTGACGAGGGCCCGTCCGGGGGGCACAGGCCTGCAGACTCAACCAATCAGGAAGACAGCGAGAGCAGGCGCTGACCCCGGGGCTCCCCATCGCCGCGGGTCTGGCCTGGCGAGTGCGCCAGGACGGCGTCCCGCGGAGCAGCCCCCTGCCCCGACACAGCCCTGTCCTCCGCCTGGTCACCCCGGTGCCCGCCGCCCGCCGCCCGCCGCCCCGCCCCACAGCCCTGGCCGCTCGCCGGCTCTGCGGTTCCGCCTCCTCCGGGATGCCGTGGAGCTGGAACCTCACGGTGCGCGGTCTTTTCACGCTGGCTCCTCTCAAAAACGTCAAGAGTAATGTAAATGCTCTCCAGGGCCACGGAGCCGCTCCAGATGCGAAGGTGTCACTTGCTTTCCCAGACGCGCTTAAAGCCGTGGCAGCCGACTCCGACGTGACGTTTTTCCCCCGTGAGTGAGTTGCGGAGACACGCTGTGCACGGCGTTTTGCTTTGTCTTGTTTTTTAAATCTGACGCCTGGCTCAGCTGCAGGCGGGACGGGCGGTGCAGGGTGCTCACGGTCACCCCCCGCCGTGGGAACTCAAGGGTGATGACTTCGTGTCCCAGCCCATCCCGGGCACCGTGCGGCGGGACTGGCGTTATTTTTGTCGCTCCGCTTTAAAACAGGAAGTGGCCCCGGCTGCAGGTCGACGTGGAGCGTTTTTAAGCCGCAGTCGAGCAGGCCAGGGGCCGGGCGAGGAGACGCAGGGGCCGAGCCTGGGACAGAGGTCAGCGGTGACCTCGCTCCGGACGGCGCTCGGGACGAGCCGGCCGCTGTCCCGCACGGACAGACACGGAGGCCCTGGAGCCGCTGCCCTCAGAGCGTGTGACGGCGGGGTGTCCCCAGGTCGTCGGGGCCGGGCGCCCAGTGGGACGGTCTGCAGGGCCGCGGTGACGGCGTTCGGGTCAGCTACCAGGACCCCGTTCCCCGGCAGCTTCCAGACCGGACGCCAAGCTGGGGGCAGGGCAGCTGCAGACGCCTGCTCCGAGGTGTGGTGCCCGGGTGTGTTTTTAAGAATGCGGGGACCCCGCCGCCCCACAGATGCCGGTCCTGCAGGGGTCCCGCTGCAGGGCGCGGCTCCTGTCTCCCCCACTCCCAAACCGCGCCGCCTGGGGGCTCGGTGCGACGAAAGGGTCCGGGGATCTCGCTGCGGAGTGGTGGCCGCGGAGAGGACCGCACAGAGAGCCCCGACGTGAAGACAGCCCCTCGCCGACGCACCTGATGTTTGCCAGGCGCCCTCCCAAGGACCGTGACTAAAATGGGCCACGGGTCATCCCCGTCCAGGTGCACCTGGGCCACCGGTGCAGAGGGCACTGCGGCCGGCCGGTGAGGGGTCCCTGGAAGGGCGTCGCCGGGCTGAGGGACCCGGAATGGTGGGGTCCCGGGAAGCACTGCGGAGACGTGACTTCCAGGAGGCAGCCCGAGGGGCGACGGGGGTGACGTGCCCTGGCAGACCGGGGGGCAGGGGCCCGGGGCAGGGACCAAGGAGACGGCTCTACTCAGGACACCAGCGCAAACCTCGCTGCCTGCTCCTCACTCTCACCGAAGCTCACCTGGGAAACTCACGCTTCTGGAAAGGACTTCCAGGAGGCCGTGGCCGTGCCGTCCTCGTAAGGAACAAAGCCTCTGGTGGCATCTACGACGCCTCGATTTCCGGAGAAGAAAGGCCCGTGGTTTTAGGCTGAACCACACCAAATCGCCGTGTGGGTCAGCCCAAACGGCTCCCGGAGCGGCAGTGTCAAAGGGTTCAGGCCAGCGCCAGCCCCACTCACTGAGGTGGGGCCCGTCCGGCCCTCACGGGGCCGTGCCACCGCGGGGACGGGCGTCCAGGACCTCCGGTTGCACACACCTGTCCAGCAGGCTTCCCGGCCAGAAGCCGCGGGCCCTGCTGGACCTGGCCGGCCTCCCACGCCCCGGTCAGCGCCCTCACCCCACGGCCGGTCACCCAGGAGACACGAAGTGGGCGGCGGGTGGAGGCCCTTTGTCTGGGCCCTTTGCTTTGTCCCCTGTCCCCTGTCCGCCCTCCGTCGCCCGCGGGGCTGCAGGCCCAGGTGGGCATCCTGCCTGGGGCATGTGCTCACGAGGGCCTTGGAACAGGTGGGCACAACAGGACTGCAGGCTCCCGGGGGCGGGGGGGCTCTCTGTACAGAACAGCCCGAGACAATTACGCGGCTCCTACGGAGAAGCCGGCGCCTAATGCTGGAGGCGTGGCCTTGACAGCCAGTGCTCCCGGGGAGCTGGCAATTTCCATCCCTAACGCCTGTTCCCTTGGTGTTCGTTACATAATGTCTGCGTCTGTGTTTTGCTAGCAGAGTGTAAGTAAGGCACACTGTAAAAATAGCGTTTGGGGTGCCGGTCCCCCCCTCCCCGCCCCGGGGAAGGGCATGTTCAGTGGGGAGCGAGGGGAGCACACTCTCGGCGCGCGGGTGCCAACGTCGCCGCAGCAAAGGGCGGGATGGAGGACTGTGACCTCTTCCCCGGATGCCTGGGCTCTGGGCACCTGGGGTATGTGCCTTGCACCCTCGGACCCGGCGTGACGGGGTCTGGTCGCTTCGCCTGTTTCCGGAGGGTTCCGCTCGCCGTGTCCCCCCAGGGTCTTGTCACCACCTCCCTCAGCCTGACCCCGAGGGCCGGGCGGGCCGTCCACGCGTTCGCGGCTGCCCGTCTGCGTGGGTCTTCGCCCCCAGGTCCTTCACCGCTTCCTCCACGCCCGGCGTGTCCCCGGGTGCAGGTGTGTCGGGGCGGGACATGGACACAGCCCCAAAGCACATGCGGACGCAGGGGCTCCTGTTTCTGCCCTCGGCCCGCCCGGCTGTGCTCGCGGAACGGCCCTCCCTGCGGGACGCCCCGTGTTCCGTGTTCCCAGCCCGCTTCTGACCTCGGCGACCTGTCCTTGTAGCCCACAGACCGCGAGTCTTAGCCTTAACTCCGTGACCCCCAAAGGATACCGAGGCCACATCCATCCACGTGCGAACACGTTCTCTTGTTTGGGTTTTACGTGTTTGCACGCTCCGCTTCTGGCGGGGCAGGAGAGCCTGGTGTCCGCTTTCACCCGCGGCACGAGGCCTTCCCTTCCCTTCCCTTCCCTTCCCTCCCCTTCCCTTCCCTTCCCCCTTCCCTTCCCCCTTCCCTTCCCTTCCTCCTCCCCTCCCGTCCCCTCTCCCCTCCCCTCCCCTCCCCTCCCCTCCCCTCTCCCTCTCCTCTCCTCTCCTCTCCCCTCCTCTTTTTTCGGCATTTTTTTTTAAAAACACCGCTTAACTCCAGAGACGCCTTCTGAGACATGTGTCATCAGGGGCACTTCCTAGCTGTGCAAACGCCGTGGGGTGACCCGCGCCGACCCACACGGCAGGCCCATGACGGCAGCCGTCCGAGCTCACCTGTCAGGAGACCGGCTGCCCTGGGGGACTGTTCGCGCCGCGGCACCACGCCCCCTGGAGGAGCTGCATGGGGGGCCCCGGCGGCGGGCGGCCCCTCTTGTAGTGCAAGGACGTGGCCTGAGCTCCCGTGGGGGAGGCCTGCTCCCCAGACGTGGCGTTGCTGCCTGGAATAAACCCCCGGCAGCCACGGGGCCGGATGACGCAGGGTCCCTGGCCTCCAGGCCGAGGACCCGGCCCCCGTCCGTGGCCCGTTAGGAACCAGGCCGCACGGCAGGAGAGGAGCTGGAATGTATTGCGCTTGGGTCATCCCCAAACCGCCCCTGACCCCGGTCCGTGGAAAAACTGTCTCCCAGGAACCCGGTCCCTGGTGCCAGAAAGGCCGGGGGCCGCTGGAGCCAGAGCCAGGCTGCTCAGCCCCACGGCGGCCCAGAAAGTTCATGTCTTTGTCCGTTGTTTCTATGGCCGACTGTGGGGGCTGCACGTTCTCTCTTCCTGGGCTTTAAGTTCCCTCTCCTGGTTTAAACTTACCCACGAAGGGCGTCCCCGAACCCCGGGCTCACCCCTGCCGCCCCAGGGAAAGCAGAACCCCAGGCCCTGGGCCGCAGGGCCTCGCAGTGATAAACCCTGTTTCCCCCCAAGTTTCCTAGAGCGACCTCCTGGGAGTGCAGCCGCCAGGTAGCCGCACGCGGGCCTGGCGGGGCGAGCTGACACGCAGGGCGTCGGGACAGCGCCTGTCGCCCCCCCCACCCCCCCGCAGTGCGCGGGACCGGCCTGGGGACGCGGGGGCCGCGCTCCACGCTCACTAACGCCTGCCCTCCGTTCCCCGACAGTGACCGAGGGCCGCGGCCTCCTGGAGAGCGTCCAGCGGTTCTCCCTGCTGCCCACCTACCTGCCGGTGACCTACCGTGTGCACGGCGCCGACGCGTCCTTCTTCCTGAAGGAGGCCGACCAGGACGTGATGCGCAACGCCAGCCTGCAGTCCCGCGTGGAGTCCTTCCTCGTCCACCGCGCCCGGCGGCTGCCCGTGCTCAGCGCCAGCTACGGCCCCTTCTCCGCCCGCCAGGCGGTGCCGCGGGACCTGCTGCTGCCGGCCGGCGCCGTGGGTGCCCCCGGCGCGCCCGCGCTGGGCTGGACGCTGAAGGCCCACGTGCTGCGGGACCACATCTACCCGGCCCGGCCCACCGTGCAGGTCCTGTTCCACGTCCTGGGCCGCGACTGGGCCGAGGGCAGCCCCGCGGAGCAGCTGCCCTGCCTGAGGGTGTTCGCCTTCCGGGAGACGCGGGCCGTGCGGGGCGGCTGCCGGCCGCGCGGCGAGCTGGGGCTGTGCGTGGCCGAGCTGCGGCTGCTGGCCAGCTGGTTCGGCGCCCCCGCGGTGGTGGCCGGCCGGAGGAAGCCGGGGCCGGCGGCCGAGGGCGGCACAGTGGAGCTGTACTACGCCGTGCACGCGGGCGAGGAGCGCGGGGACTGCGCCCGGGCGGCGGCGCAGGCGGGCGGCGCGGACGAGGCGGGCCCCCCGCTGCACAGGATTGGGAGCGTGTTCCTGCACCAGGCGCACAGCCCGCCGCCGCTGCGGGAGCTGCGCCTGGACGGCAACGTGGCCGTCCACTACCTGCCGCGGACGGCGCGCCGGGGCGACGTGCTCACCTTCCCCGTGTGGGTCTCCAGGAACTGCACAGAGGACCACTTCACCCTGAGGTGAGCCTTCCGGGAGCCCACTCCCACCCGGGCGGGCGCGCGGGTCCCGGGGGCGCGGGGCACACCCACGGGTCACGGTGATCGCCCTGTGCCACCGGCCCATTCGACCGCACGGGCTGAGCAGGGTGCACTGGCCGGGCTGGGTGCTGGGTGCCGGAGGTGCCTGACGGCTCAGCTGTGTGGGCTGCCTCGCAACTGCTGGGGGACGCGGGCGTGATGCCTTTGGCGAGGCGTGGGGTGCCCTGGGCACGTGGCAGGAAGACGAAGGTGCCAGCGGGGCCGTGGACAGGCGGCGTCCGGCGGCTGACGGGTGACCGCAGAGCGTCCAGGGGGGTGTGTGTGCAGAGGGTCTGCTCTGCCCTCAGCGTCCAGCCCCAACCCGTGCGCCGGAGTCCGGGACGCCCCAACCCCGCGGACAGTCATGTGTCTCTCTGGAAAAGCGCGGGGTGAGTGTGGTCCAGGAGCGCTGGCGTGCGAAGCCGCGGCCGCGGGCGGTGTTGGGGGTCCTACGCGAGAGCGCGCCCAGGAGCAGGTCTGGAAGGGGTGCCGGGGGCTCAGCCAAACGCCCGCGGGGCTTTCTCCCTCCGGAGCTCAGGACGGCAGCGGTGCGGCGGCCCCTTGGCGGGGGGAGGCTCTCTGTGGTCGGTTCTGTGCTCGGCTCAGACAGGCTTGGTCGTGGCGGCCTCTCGGCAGAAGCGTCTGGGCCCCAGCCTGTCCCGGCCTGGCGACACCCCGCAGCGAGGACTTGGTCGGAGGCGCCCCGGCCCGTGGACGCAGGGATGGGGAGCTCGGCTCCTTCTCTTCGTTCTCTTCGTGGGCTTCACAGCTTTGGGGACGACGGAGTCCCGCCCCCTCCGTCTGAGCGTGGGGTGTCCCTTGTCTCCGGTGGGCGTGGTGGGTTCCGGACGGCGGCCGCCTCTGCTCAGACACCTGACATGTCGAAGTCTGTCCCGTGACCCCGGGCTCGGGGTCGTCCTTCCGCCCTCGCCTGCTGGTGGGACGCGGCGGCTCGCCCTTGGCCGTAAAGGACCTTTGGCGAGGGTGGGGCGTGCAGCCAGGGGCCATGCATGGCCATCGGGGCGGCCCCTCGCCCCCGATCCCTGGGACAGCAGGCCTCGCCTCCGCGGGTCTCAGGCCCTCCGCAGGGCCTGCCAGCTGCGGGCGTGGCGTTGCCAGCTTCCACGGTCTTCCAGAATGTTCTCTGTGGAGGTCAAAGCTCACGGAAAGGAGTGTTTTGCTGATGGAACATGGCGGCTTGACTCGGGGAAGCTTCGTTCTGGTCTCACCCTCTCTGAGGGCCTTTGCTCTGCCGCCTGCTGGTCGTCGGTTGCCGGCCCCGGGGACCCTCACAGAAACCGCAGCTTTCCCTCTGCGGGGGCCGGCCCCCGCACCCGGTTTTCGGAAGCAGCGTGTGCGTGGCACTCACGTCACGAAACGCTCCGTGCCTGCCTGACGGACCCCTGCTGCACTCCGAGAGCGCCCCTCCGAGAGTCCCGAGGGCGGCCCTGCCGACGTTGGCAGGCCCCGACAAAGCCCGGGGACTCGGGCTTGCTGGGCCCCACGGCCTGGGGCCCGGGGGCCTGCGGGCCCAGAGGCAGCGCCGCGCAGGCCTCTGGGTGTGTGGTCTGCGTGCGAGAGCGGAGCGCTCTGAGTGTGTGCAGCGAGACTCCGTTCGCTCGGAGTCTGTGCAGAGGCGTGTGGGAGAGAAACGCCCGTTTCCGGCTAAGGCCCCAGTGGACGCTCCTGAGGCCGCGTGCGTCCCCTGGTGAGGCGGTGCACGCCGCCTCTGGAATGGTGCGCTTGCATTAATGGTGCGCTTGCTGCATACGTAAAGCTCTGTAATTAGGCAGGAGTCGCGTCTGTTTGGGAAAACAGCTGGAGGCAAGCCTGGCTCCGGCGACGTGATTAGCCTCTAGTCGGAATGCTCCTAATTAGAAGATAATAAAACAGTATTTCTTTGTTAATGAAGTCAGTTGGACACTAATGGAGAACAGCTGCCCAGCGTCTGGCCGGAGCGGGCCTGGGCTCCATCTGGCCACCTGCTGGGGATGACCCAGCGGGCCCGCCCTGCCCCGGCCCCTCCGCCCCTCGGCCCCTGGGCCATGTGGGCCGCGGGGTCCCGCCCGGAGGCGGCTCCTGCTCTGCAGGCTCGGCGCCCGCCTGACCCCCAGACAGAGGACCAGGGCTGCGGCCCTGCCTGGGGTCCGTCCCCATCATGACCGACCTTCTGCCTCCTCCCTGGGGACTCTGGGCCTGTGGCTGCAGGGCGACCCCACGGCCAGCCCAGGGGCCGAGTGCTGCAGTGGACATGATCAGAGAGGACGGCGGAAACCCGGACTCTGTGTGTGGGGGTGTGTGCGTGTTTGTGTGGGCGTGTGTGCATGTGTGTGCATGTGTGGGTGTACGTGTGTGTGCGCTGCGCTGGTCACGGGGCCGGTCGAGAGCGTAAACAATCGCATTTCGGGGCTTATGGATGCAGAGGAAAGCTAGATTTGATCTCATATACGTACTTTTGTTGCAGAGAAGCAGGACGGAATGATCAATAGGAGACTTTCAGACATGAACGTGGAACACAATAGGGTAAAATTCTGTGAACGGAATAAAGTGGATACGCAAGTGAACAGCGAAAAAAAAATCAATATAAAATTCAAGTCCGGTGCAGAAAAGGCTGTCTGTGTGTTTTCTTAGGACGAATCATGGAGAGTAGCAAATCCGCCACGGTATTTAGATTCTGGTGAATACTTTTAGGGGAATGATATAACAGTTTAATTTCGAAATGTCAATAGTTACAGTATGCTGAGAAGTTCAACCTTTGCCGCTTGGGAGGGGAAGTTTTAAATGTCACCTTTAAAAGGAGCCCGGGGATGCCCAGACCTGTACGGATTATTCTAGAACATCACCAGCTGGCCGCGCTCTCTGCGGTGACAGGTGTGCCCGACACCTGTCCGGTCTGCCCGGGCAGCCCCGCCGGCTGCAGCAGTCACGTTCCCGAAAGGCGCTGCACAGGTGCTCTGCGCATCCTGTCTCTGTGCCGTCTGCGGAGGTTCCCGAGACCGGGGCTCCCCTGGCGGCAGCTGCCTTTTCGGGGTGTACGCAAGCAAGGCGACGAGGCTTGGGACCCATCAGAAGTAAGGAGAAGTCCAAGCGAAGCTGGAAGGTTATTTATCTTCACCACGCAGAGGGAGGGCTGCCCGGCGCCGCGGCGTCTGAGGTCTACCCTGTGGCCCTCACCGCCGCTGGGACCACCCTCTGCGTCTCTGTAAAGCCGTCCGACAGGCGAGCCCCGCTCCACTGGGGTTCTCTCAGGAGGGGCAAGTTAGGGTCCGGGCTGAGGGGCCGCCTGGACCTCCCAGGCCAGTGCCGATCCGGGTGCCAAGTGGCCAGGTATCGGCAGGAGTGGCGGCCGGACAGAGGTGGCACCTTTTCCTCCTGCTCTGCTGCCTGGACACCTGGCAGGTGGGCGGGCGGCCGCAGGTGTGTGCGTTACAGGGTGAGCACCTGCAGACACAGGGCGGGCCCTCTGCCCTGGCCCTGCGTGGCCCTCGGGGCTGAACCCAGGCCACACGGGTGTGGAGATGGGGGGTGGAACGGGGAGGTGGAGCTCTGGGCGGCGTCCCCTGAACCCGGCCTCCATGCAGAATTCACGAGTACACCTGGCGGGAAACCGCTGCCTCGGCGTGTTTCTGAACTGTTTCTTATCGAGTGCAGTTGGTGCACGACCCTACACTGGTCTCCCGTGCACGGCACAGGGGTTCGGCACCGGTGCACCCTGCAGTGCCATCGCCACCCTCGTCCCAGGGGCCGCCTGCCACCTGCAGACATGCTGTTCCCTCGTGGACTGTGCCCCCTTCATTCTGCATGCCCCCCTACCCCGCCCCCTGGCAGCCCTCCGCCTGTTCGCTGTCTCCGGGCGTCTGTTCTGAGCAAACGGGCGCTGTGATGGAGAAAGTACAGAGTGGAATATGCAAGTTGCCCGTAAGCAAGTCACCTGGGATATGACTGTCCAGCATGGGCAGGTGCACGGCTCTCTTGTGCTCACCTGACCTGCGTCTGTGTTGCGTCACAGAGAAGCTCGCGCACCTGGAACTGGGATGGCAGACAGCCTGCCCGCCGGGCGCCAGTGCATCTCCCTCCCTGGCTCGGCTCTGCCTTCCGTGTCTGCCCTGTCTGGGTCTGGGGTGGGGGTGGGGTCCGGGCAGCAGAGTCCTGGCGGGAGCCCGCGCCGACCTGGGCGCTGACAGGTTGTGATGGCCGTCGGCTGCAGCCGGAGCGGGATGCGGGCTCCTTCACGTCCCGAGAGTGATGTCCCAGGGGCACGTTTTATGCTCCAGACGGGAAGGCTGCCGTTGAAACTGCGACCAGAGAGGGTTCGGGTTGGAATGGCCACCGGGACAACCCCGGGGGGCGGGGGACGAAAGAGGGGGCTGGGAAGGACCCCCGGCAGACAGCGAGGAGGGGTTGGGGCAGGGGCTCACGAGCAGGAGGCAGGTCAATGAGAGTGAACGGGAGGCAAAACATCAGCCTAAAACCCAGATGAGATTCGAGGGTATTAAAGATGGCATTTTAAGTCAGCGCCCGGCCCTGGGCGAACCACTTAATAAATAGTGTTGATAAAACCCATACGGGCAGACCCGAAGCCGGGTCTCTCTTTCACGCAGTTCTCCCACTAAGATAAATTCCAGGCGGATGAAGGGATTCGTCTCCTGGCGCACCAGCTTCCCCACGCACAGCACAAACAGAGCCGGCACAGCGGAGGTGGGCAGGGGACGTTCCCGGGCGTTCCGTGCAAAGGGACTCCGCACCTTGGCGCGTGGAAACCAACCCAGGGCCCCTCGGGTGGAAGGAGACAGGGTTTCATTGGTCCGAGCTCCCGCGATCGGAACGGCGAGAGCAAGGCACCTTGACACGCCCCGGGAGCGTGCAGACGGGCCGCACCTCTCCGAACGGCCGCTCGGCGAGTTCTGCCGAGACCGAGCAGGGCGCCTCCCTGCCTCGGCGGCTCCGCTTGCAGAATGGGCGCGGTGGGCCTGCGTGCGTGTGTGTGCGCGCGCGCGCGCGCGCAAGCGCAGAGCTGCGTGCGAAGTCTTGGCAGCACAGATGCAGGAACCAATGGGGGGGCGCACCAGCTTGTCTGCCCCGTGGGCGCCAGGGGGGCAGACTTCCCTCAGCTGCACCCGCCCCGTGGGGGAAGTGTGCGGTGTGCGAATCCAGAATCCCTCCGCGCGGACGCGGAGGCGCACCCACCAGATAGGCTCGCCCGCGGGGGGGCGCTCCCGCCGGGCTGCCGCCGTTGGCTCGTCCCCTGCGATCTGCAGGCCTCGGGGTGCCGGTGGCCCAGACGGTGGGTGTCGCCGAAGTGGGAGCATCGGGGAGAGAAGTGCCCAGAGCAGAGGCGTCTCCTCGTTTCCCTTCGTAGCATTCACGAGGTGTCCGCCCGCGGCCGGCGTTACTTTTCAGTGAGAATGTTAATGCAACGTTCACAGGCCCGCCCCCAAAGACCTCCCTGGAGCCGTGAGCTTGCTGCTCACCTCGGTTCCCGTGTTCCCCTGGAGTGTCTCCTTCAGTTAGGGAGGCGAGTCTAAGCCCTTCCTGCAGACCGCACAGGCACGAGGGTGTGAGCGCCGAGGGGCGGGGCGCCGGGGCTCCCCGCGGGGGCCCCTCCCCCGGCTTCTTCCCGTCCCCGGCGCCACCCCCCGACCGGCTGCATAAGTATTTGGGAGACGGAGACTCAGGCTGCCCTGCCGCTCCGTCCCCAGGGTGCGGCCATCGTCCATCTGGAGGCGAACCCGGTCTGCCACTCTTGGCGTCACCTTCTGCCCCGGCACCTGCCCCACCTGCCCCCAGAGTCCCTGAGTCAGGTCTCCGCCCACTGCCCCCGGGGACCGGGCGGGGCGGGGGCGTGGTTGCAGCACCCGGACCTCAGACGCCCCGCCCAGGGTGCACACTGGCCGCGCAGGGCACCGCTCTTCTGCCCACCCCGCTGCCCGCCCTCGCCGTGCTCCCACTGGGACTGTCCCAGAGAAAAGCGAGGACAGAGGCCGGTCCTGCTGTGTCCCCTCGGCCCCCCCTCCAGCTCCCCAGCGAGCAGTGGCGTCACTGACCCAGGAGGAGGAGCCGAGGGCATCACCTTCCCCCCACGGGTGAAGGCAGCCCACGGGTGGCGGGCCCCCATGCATTGGCAGGTGGGCCTCCGGGTGAGGCCGGAGTGGCCGTGGGCTCTCAGGCCGCGTCCTGGTCAGCCTGGAGCAGCGGAGAGCGGCAGCGGGGGGAGGGGTGGGGGTGGGCGAAGCCCCGGGAGCCGCGCTGACCCCCAGCAGGGGCCGCGTGGGGCCGCGGGGGGGCGCCGCTGAGCACTTCCTGTCTCCCGCAGGGCCACCGTGAAGAAGGGCGTGCGCGTCGCCGGCGTCCGGGCCAGCGCCCCCTCCGCCTGGGAGGTCCGGGAGAGCCCGGGCCGCGCCGGCAAGTCCGCCCCCGCCGTGGTCGTCTGCCGCAGGAAGCCCGCCGGCCCGGGGGACAGGTGAGTGCCCCGCGCGCGGTCCCACGCGGCCTTGGGCGTGTGCGCGGCCTGCGGACGCCCCCTGAGACTGGGGTCTTCACTCCGTGCGTGCGGGTTACCGTTCGGTGACACCGTTGTGAAGGCAGACGTGTGGACGCGACGTGCTCATTCACGTGGGGGGGGCAGCAGTGGGCGCACAGCTGTCCCGTGCGGAAAACGGCGCGGCAGTTCATAGACGACAGCAGAGAAAAACCCCTGTCCCGCGTGCTCGCGGCCGTGACCTCTTCTGCCGCGCCCTCTGCGTTCAGCTGCGGCCGCACTGCAGAGCCCCGCCCCCTCCTGTCGCCACGGAGCTGCGCGAGGAGAGGCGACGCTCTGTCCCTGCGGATGGCCGGTGGGCCAGGGGCGTCTTCCTCGGGCCGCCCGCCTGCGTGGGCACCCTGGGGTGGAGGGAGGTTTGCGCGTCAGTGGGGTTCGCCTCCGGAGCAGCTCTGCCTCCGGGATGGCTCGTTTCCCCTCTCTCCGTGATTCTAGTTCCCAAGGGTCAGAGTGCACTCTCCTCGCCAGTGTGGGGCGGCAGCCTCGGTTACTCAGAGTCCTGGGTCTCGGGTCGCCGGGAGCTCGCTGCGGATCTCCAGGCCGAGTTAGTGAATCACCGTCACCGCGGCAGCTGCGATGTCACGGATGGAGGGAGGAGCCACTCGGGCGCTCCTGGTGACGTGACCGGGAGTGACGAGGACTCTCCTGCCCGCCATGACACGTCCTTGCTTTCCGAAGAGGTCTGGCTGTCGAAAGCCGCGTGGTCCCGGAGTTGACAGAGGAGTCCCATCGAGGCCCTCGGACCAGCTCTGACCCAGCGCGGCTCGGGGACGCGAGGGCACAGAGGCCGAGGGACCGACTGGGCCAGGTGGCCGTCTGTCCGTGCCACCTGGTCCCTGCAGAGCCTGGCTCCCTCTAGCACTGTGCACACTCGGATCCGCGCGTGACAAGAGCCACATGTTTTTATTTCTCTGCTCTTCTCTGCAGAGATGAGTGTTTCCCGTTGCCACTTAAACGGTTTCCGGAGGTGCACAGAAATGAAATTATGTTCCATGAGGTGGAGTGACAGGCACTTACAGGCTTCTCCGTTCCCCAGCAAGACTTCCTGTTACAATGTGTCCCTTTCTCCCGCTGTGTCCCTGAAGCCTCCGTCCTTGGCGGCTAGCGGGTCACACCCAGGCAAGATGATGTAGCTGGAAAGTAATATTTCTTTATAATTTTCATCTGTTTCAGATAATGTTCATTTTCCACTCATTATGCGTCGTAGGTGATGTTTCATTTAAAAACAGGTGTATTTGGAGTGAAAACTGCATAGCGAAAGAATAGCGGTTATCTCCAATGAGACATCAACGTCACAACTGGACATCCCACGTTGGCAGACACGGGCGTGATGGATGTCTCTCGGACTGTATTTGCTAGGGTCGGGCTTGATCGCTTAATTTCTAATGCAAGCGAGAGTGACTGGAGTGAGACAGAAGGTGCGTTTCTCGCTCTCACGAAGGCGCCCGCTGTGGGTGGGCGGGGCTGCTCTGCAGCCCCCGAGGGGCCCCGCGCACCTGCCTGTCCCCGGCACCGAGCCACTGCGGGGCCCTCGCCTCACAGCGCGAGGGGGCTGCCGGAGTGCCGGCCATCACAGCTGCGTGTGGGCCGGGGAAGTGTGACAGAGGAGGAGGGTCTTCGCCCCTCGATCGACATCCTCTAAGCCCCTTTCCTGGAAACTCACGTTAGCGCCCAGGTTTCTCTGGCCTCGCGTGGGCCGGGACTTCATGGCACGACCGCGCCAGGCTGCAGAGTGGAGAGGAAGATGTCGTTTACCCCGGGAGCCGCGGGGCAGCTGAGAACCCGTATTCCGTCCCGGAGATAGAAGCGCAGACTCGGAGGGTGGGGCCACCAGGAACGTCGACTTTGTTTCCCAGCAGACACGGGGCCGGGAGGGGAGCAGGCGTGGATCAGGCGCGGACGGAGACGGCTCCGTGACACCCCCCCACATCCCTTCGTTGCCCGGCATCTGCTCCTGAAGGTCCCCGGCGTGGGTGCGGTCAGGGTGGAGTCGGGGAAAGGGAAGGCTTGGGAGACCGAGGCGTCAGGCTGCGGCACCGCGGCCGCAGAACAGCTGATGGGACACGCAACTTTCCACGTGGAGGACCACGCCGCCACTCACCTTCACGTGCCTTTCCGCGCTTGGAGCTCAGCAGCTGTGTGCTCACACACGTGTGCCTGCACACACGTGTGCCCGGTCTTAGCGCCTTCCCTGCAAACACGGGAACGCCGCTGAAAGCTCCACAGGGAAAAGGCGCCGTGTGTGCGTCCGCGGTGGACTCTGCAGCTCTCTCCCGGACGCTGTGTGCGTGCGCGCTGCGTCCGTGTCCGTGTCAGGGCGCCTTCCCGTTTACACAGTGACCAGCTGAGTGTGTACACACGGTGTGAACTCGGAAGGTCGTCTGTACTCGCCACGCGTCGCTGTAATCACCGCCATGCGTGTTGGGGCCAGCGTTCACTGCTAAAGACGGGGCCTCCGTTTGGGCACCCCCCCACCCCCGAGCAGCCTGTGCCGTTTCGGAGCGGGGGCGCTCTTGGAGAAAGGCAGGGGGCGCGCTCCCTCGGCTGTCCCGGCCCCCCTCCCCCCCCACAGCTGAGCCGCCCTCCCACGCGGCTCCCCGAGCGAGCCTCCTGCTGGCCGCCCGAAGTCTCCACGCTCCCCGGGGCGCTCGGGGGTCAGGCGCTGGGATGCTGTCTGCCGCCGGAAAGGCCTGGGGAGCCGTTTAGAAAGATTGTCATGTTTCACGGAACATTAACAAGAGAAACGAAAGAAGAATGATAGGACCCGCCCGGGAAGCGTCGCCGACCATCCGGCTGTGAGACGCGCCGGGGTGTCTGCAGGTTCTGGACCTCGCCGAGCGGGCGCCAGCCATGCGGACCGGGGTCCCTGCGTTACTTCGGAGTGTGCGCCCCGAGGGTTTCCACCCTCGCTCAGTGCCCTTTCTCCGACGGCCCTCAGCCTCCCTGCGGTGTGCCGCGTGACGCATGGTGTCCTTGGAGACTTCGTAGTCCGCTGCCCGGGTGGGCAGCACCGTCCCGGCTGGCCTGGCGCAGCTTCCAGTCTCACAATCTGCGTGTGCGCTGGGGCACAGCCGGGGCAGCCGGCAGCACGGCCTGGGACTCTGCATTCCTACCGGGAGCCGTTTTCCTTTTTTTTTTTTAACAGCTGAAGAACTTTTTTTTTAAAGATTTTATTTATTTATTTTTAGAGAGGGAAGGGGGAGGGAGAAAGAGAGAGAGAAACATCAATGTGCGGTTGCTGGGGGCCGTGGCCTGCAACTCAGGCATGTGCCCTGACTGGGAATCGAACCTGCGACACTTCGGTTCGCAGCCCGCGCTCAATCCACTGAGCTATGCCAGCCAGGGCATCCTTTTTAAGCTCAAGCTTCGGGTTATGAGTTATAGCCCTGGTATGCGCCCGCCGAGAGGATGTCCAGAGCCCCGCTGGGTGGTTCGGCGGGTTGGACGTCTCCAGAAGACCACAGGCCCGTGGGTTTGATTGCCAGTCGGGGCACCCGCCTGGGTTTCGGGTCCCCCCGCCGGGGGGCATGCGAGATGCAATCCAGTGACGTTTCTCTCTCACATCCCCGTCCCTCCCTCCCCCGTCTCTGGAGTCGATGGAAAGGGGAGAAAGAGAAGCGTGCAGTCGGCTGAGCCTCAGAGAACGCCCTGGCCATGCGAGCGCGGCAGCGGTCTGGCGTCCGAGCGCCCCCGTGACCCCCAAGTCCCCTGCGCCCGTTCATAGCAAATCCCTACCTCTCCCCCGGTTCCAGACTGTCACGTGTCTCTGTCGAAACCCACGATTCTGCCTTTTCCGCCAGAGCCCGAGGTGGACATCACCCAGGCTTCTGTCCTTTGGTGAGTGCATCAACAGGGAGCCACGTGTAAGCAGAGAGGACACAGCGCAGTGACAGATGTCCTCCCACCGAGGCGTGAGAACACAGGGACCGGCCCCAGCGGGGCTGTGCCCAGTGAGAGCAGCCAGGCGCACTCGGACCCCAGCCCTCAGGTGCCCCTTGGCCCCTGCTGACCCCGGGAGTGCCGCCGGAGCCCCCCCCTCAGCAGCTGCCCCGCCCGGGTCCTGTGACCTGGGGGGTCTGCCCTCCTGCTCCCTGGGGCCCCCTGTGCACCCCTGGCCCTCCCTTGCACCCCCGGCCTGGCAGTGAATGTGCGGCCACACAGCTCCCCCTCGGGAGGGTGGGCAGGGCCTGGCCCCGCAGCCCGGCGCCTTCCCGCAGCGCTGGGAGCTGACCTCGCAGCCTCCGAGTGCGAAGAATCTGGAGGCTTCCTTCTGGGGACCGGGGTCTGCTCAGCGACTCGGTGGGCCGGGCCGGCCGTGGTGAGGAGTCAGTGCCGCCCAGCGCTGCCCCCAGCCTGTCCCGTGGCCCGCAGGCAGGGCATCAGGGCACGCCCTGCCCCTCTCCCCAGTGGGGCTGAGCCCCCTCTTCTCCGGGACCCTCCACACGCCCCTGTGGTCGCCCTCCGCCATAAGCGCTTGTACTCGCAGCCCTGCCTCGTGGTGTCAGCACACCTGGGCCCGAGGGCGCCTGCCGTCTGGAGGGGTGTCTGTCCCCAGCGTGGTCCCCGGGGGAGGAGAAGCAGGAGCGGGCCTCTGGCACCTGGCACCTGGGGGAGGTGCCCTGCCCTCCCCGAGAGCCCAGGAACGGAGAGCCCCGTTACTGTTACCGGTTTCAGGACCCAGACCTTTGAACCCACATCCTCCTGTGTCCTTTCCGCGGCACGCCCGTGGTTCTGGCACCTGGGGGTGAGCCGCGTGTAGGTGTGACGTTTGGTTCACAAACTCCTTGGCAGTTGCTCTGGAGACCGCTGTGTCAGTGAGCCGCACTGCCTCTGACTTTCCCAGAAATAGGGGGCAGGTGCAGCGGGGGGCGGGACCGCATCCCCCCCACGTCAGGGTACTGCGGGCTGAGTGTCCCCCGGAA